GGGAGGTAACTCCACAAAATCTGCAAAGTAGCGTTGTATTACTTGCAGCAGTAGGGATGTTTGCCTATTTAAGTTGTAATCTTTCTCATTTAAAGTTAATGAAATTCAGAGCTTCTTAGCCATCTCTTTAGCAGCAAGCTTAAGTTTACAGTTTTCAAAAGGTTTGACCAACATTTGGTACCAGAGCCCCCACTGGGCCTGTGTCGAGAATCTCTCATAGAAGCAGCAGCTTTTTTCATTCTTGCAGTAGCAAGCATCCATGGCGTCTGACAAGCCAGCAGAGAATTTCGTTCAACCAGCCATTCCTCGCTTCGACGGTCACTACGATCATTGGAGCATGTTGATGGAGAATTTTCTAAGGTCCAAAGAGTACTGGGATCTTGTGGAAACGGGATATACTGTACCCGAAGAAAGTATGCTTACGACTGCGCAACAACGTAAGCTTGAAGAACTGAAGCTGAAGGATCTGAAGGTAAAGAATTACCTATTCCAATCAATTGATCGTGCTATTTTGGAGACTATTCTCCAGAAGGATACTTCCAAGCACATTTGGGACTCCATGAAGAGAAAGTACCAAGGGTCAGCAAGAGTGAAGCGTGCACAGCTTCAGGCCCTGAGACGAGACTTTGAGACTCTCCAAATGAAGAATGGAGAGTCTGTCACCGAGTATTTTGCAAGGACCATGGGGATTGCAAACAAAATGCGAATCCATGGTGACAAGCTTGATGATGGCTCCATTGTAGAGAAGATCCTGAGATCTATGGCTCCAAAGTTCAACTACATCGTTTGCTCTATTGAAGAGTCAAATGACACTGCAGAAATGTCGATTGATGAGCTTCAAAGCTCATTGTTGGTCCATGAGCAGCAGCTGAACCGTGGGATCACAGAACGTGTCAACTTAGAAGAACAAGCTCTGAAAGCTTCTACCTTTTTTGAATCCTCAAGCTCAAGAGGAAGAGGCCGAGGTAGAGGTAGAGGAAGAGGTCGAGGTGGTCGAGGCAACCGAGATGGAGACAGACAACACCAAAGTTCCAAGAGACATGATGATCACTCTCAGAATAGAGGCAAAGGACAAGTTGACAAATCCAACATCGAGTGCTATAGGTGTGGAAATCTTGGGCATTATCGCAATGAATGCTACACGAAGCTGCCAAAAGACAAAGAGAAGGGAGAGAAGTCCAACTTTGTTGAAAAGAAGGATGATGAGACACTGTTGATGGCATTCCACGTCAAGGAGGAGATTGATTCCGAAGTATGGTATGTGGACACAGGTTGCAGCAATCATATGACTGGCAGTAAGTCATCTTTCTCATTTTTGGATGAAAACTTTCAAACTACTGTGAGCTTTGGGGATTGGTCACGTGTCAATGTAATTGGAAAGGGTGATATTCAAATTAGGACTAAGAATGATTTTGTTGAAACGATTTCGAATGTATTTTATGTGCCTAGTTTGAAAACAAATTTGTTGAGTGCTGGACAGCTACAAGAAAAGGGTTATATAATAACTCTTCAGAAAGATGCATGTGAGATATATGATCCAATAAGAGGTGCCATTGCTGTTGTTCAAATGAGCCAAAACAGATTGTTTCCGCTGAAGATCAAAACTGTTCAAACTAGTTTGATGGCTAAGGAAGACGACTCATCGTGGCTATGGCACCTACGTTTTGGCCATCTGAATTTTAGCGGTCTGAGGACACTGCATCAGAAGCAAATGGTGACTGGCCTTCCCATGATCACACCTCCATCTGAAGTCTGTGAAGCATGTGTCATTAGCAAACAGCACCGTGATCAATTTCCAAAGGGAAAGGCGTGGAGAGCTCAAAACCTATTGGAGCTAGTGCATTCGGACATTTGTGGTCCAATCAGTCCCATGTCGAATGGTAAAAAGAAATACTTTATTTCTTTTATTGATGACTTCAGTAGAAAGGCTTGGGTGTATTTTTTGCAGGAAAAATCAGAAGCTTTTAATGCATTTAAAAGCTTTAAGGCACTGGTTGAGACTGAAAGTGGCAGAAAGATCAAAACCCTTCGAACTGATCGTGGTGGTGAATATTGTTCAAAGGAGTTTGAAGCTTTCTGTGATGAGCAAGGGATTCGAAGGCAGCTCACTGCCTCATACACACCCCAGCAAAACGGTGTATCCGAGAGGAAAAACCGAACCATTCTCAACATGGTCAGAAGCTTGCTAGTGAAGGGAGGTGTTCCTAAAAGTTTTTGGCCTGAAACTGTACTGTGGTCCATTCATGTTTTAAACAGGTGCCCTACTTTTTCTGTTAAGAACATGACACCAGAGGAAGCTTGGAGTGGGCGGAAACCCTCAGTAGATCATTTTAAAATATTTGGCTGCATAGCATATGCACACATTCCAGACGAGAAAAGAAAGAAGCTCGATGACAAGGGCGCAAAGTGTATTTTCCTTGGAGTCAGTGAACACTCCAAAGCTTATAAGTTGTACAATCCAACAACGGAGAAGATGATTACCAGTCGAGATGTGTTTTTTGATGAAGAAAAGACGTGGGATTGGGCTGGAAATAGCAAGCAGCAGCAGCAAATACCGGCTAACTTTGAAGCAACAGAAGTTAGGGCTGAGCAGTCTCCTGAGCCTGACGAAATCCCACCAGAAAATGCTCAACCCACGGATGACCAGCCACCTCAAACTCAACGACCGAGGAAAAGACCATCGTGGATGATTGATTATGTAAGTGGAGATGAACTCTCTGATGATGACACTACTGCATACTTTGCCTTGTTTGCAGATTCCACTCCTCTCACCTTTGAGGAAGCAGTTGAAGACTCGAAATGGCAAAAGGCAATGGATGCAGAAATTAGGTCCATTGAGAAAAATGATACGTGGGAGCTTACAGATTTGCCGAGAGGTCAGAAGACTATTGGGTTGAAGTGGATCTTCAAAACCAAATTGAATGAAAAAGGTGAGGTGGACAAGCATAAAGCCCGTTTGGTAGCAAAGGGATACAAGCAAAAGTATGGCGTCGATTACAAAGAGGTGTTTGCTCCGGTTGCAAGGCAAGACACAATTCGCTTGGTAATCTCTCTTGCTGCTCAAAACTCATGGCCTATCTATCAACTAGATGTAAAATCCGCCTTTTTACATGGTGAACTGCAAGAACAAGTGTTTGTTGATCAGCCTACAGGCTATGTGCAGCAAGGAAAAGAGAAGAAGGTTTTGAGGTTGAAGAAGGCACTCTATGGACTGAAACAAGCACCACGAGCTTGGTACAGTCGCATAGATGCATACTTTGTCAAACAAGGCTTCCAAAAGTGTCCATATGAGCATACCTTGTACGTTAAGGTAGGAGATGAAGGTAAAATGCTCATTATATGCCTTTATGTTGATGATCTGATTTTTACTGGAAGTGGAGTTGATATGTTTGATGGTTTTAAAAAATCTATGATGGAAGAGTTTGATATGAGTGACTTGGGATTGATGCATTACTTTCTTGGCATAGAAGTAGCACAATCAGAAACTGGCATTTTTGTTTGCCAAAAGAAATACATACTGGAAATATTGGAAAGGTTTCAGATGTTGAACAGCAATCCCGTCGGAACAACTGCAGAGGTAGGGTTCAAGCTGAGTAAAGATCCTGAAGGGGAAATGGTTGACAGCACTTATTTCAAACAGATAGTAGGGAGTCTGATGTATCTAACTTCCACAAGGCCTGATATCATGCATTCTGTAAGTGTGATAAGTCGTTACATGGAGAATCCCACTGAGATGCATCTCAGGGCAGCCAAGAGAATTTTTCGTTACTTAAAAGGCACAACAGATTTTGGGATTTTCTATAAGAAGGGGGGAAAGTCGCATTTTTTTGGCTTTACTGACAGTGATTATGCAGGAGACATTGATGATCGTAAAAGCACTTCTGGAAATGTGTTTTTAATGAGTTCAGGTGCAGTTTCATGGTCCTCGAAGAAACAACAAATCGTGACATTATCCACAACTGAAGCTGAGTTCGTGGCAGCTGCTTCATGTTCCTGTCAAGCCATTTGGCTGAGAAGAATGCTAGAAGTTCTTGGTAATCAGCAACAAGACTCAACATTAATTTATTGTGATAATGTTTCAGCGATCAAGCTATCCAAGAATCCAGTCATGCATGGAAGAAGCAAACATATCGATGTTAGATATCATTTCTTACGTGATCTATGCAAAGAAGGTGTGATTGAGCTGCATTACTGCAAGAGTGAAGATCAGGTGGCTGATCTCATGACAAAACCTCTCAAACAGCCAGTGTTCGAGAAGCTCAGAAGTATGCTTGGAGTTTGTTCAAGGGAGGGACTCACGCTAAAGAAAAGTGAAGCTAAAGATCGGTTTTAAACTGTTTTCTGCAGAAATCAGTTTAAGGGAGGGTGTTAAGATTTATCTTTAAGTTATTTGTTTTTAAATAAAGTGGTTGCTTGTAGTTAGGATTGTTTACCTAGTCTACAGGAGGATCCCTAAGTTGTAGGAGTCATGGTTAGGGTTTGTTTTTGCATGCTGGAGTCGTGGGAGGTAACTCCACAAAATCTGCAAAGTAGCGTTGTATTACTTGCAGCAGTAGGGATGTTTGCCTATTTAAGTTGTAATCTTTCTCATTTAAAGTTAATGAAATTCAGAGCTTCTTAGCCATCTCTTTAGCAGCAAGCTTAAGTTTACAGTTTTCAAAAGGTTTGACCAACAGAGCACCCTCAACCACAACTGGGGGTTGACCAGGGAGGGGATTGGCAAACTTGTTAGCCCAAGCAGGGATTCTAGGGCTGGTGGAAATTCTAGCATGTCTGGAAGAGGAAACTTCAAGTTGGGAAATAACAGTCATGGCTACGGTACTAAAGCTCTGAAGGGGAATCAAGGAAGATAAATTTAGTTGTTTGACTTTGACTAATCAAATTTACCACGCTGGGATATTTTTGTTGCACCACGCCGACGCGGGGGCATAATAATAAACAAGCAAAATATCCCCCAAAAAACGTCACACGTGTCTTGTTTGCGCTTTTCACTCTTCGCATTCACAACCTAACCTACACCCTAACACACCCCTCTCTTTCTCTCTCTCCCTCTCTCCCTCTTAACCTTCTTCGCCGCACTTCTTACGCAGTCTCCGATTCCAATTCCCCGACCTCCAATTCTCCAATGGCCACCGACACACAGAAGCCCAGCGACCCCATCACCACCTTAGAAGCCCCAAAGAAAACCCTAGAATCCTCCCCGGCCCCACCCACCGCCACAATTTCAGATCGACCCGATAATCCGTCCGCTGACACTCCCTCCGATCCACCTCCGTCGTCCGAGGTTGACTCCAAAGTAAACGGGTCTAAGGCTGACTCTGAGGATCCCAAGACTGACTCTGCCACCGGTGACGCGGCTGCTCCGGCTACCGCCATTGAGAAGAAGATGCGCCGTGCCGAGCGGTTTGGGATATCCGTGCAGCTCACAGAAAAAGAGAAACGCAACTCTCGCGCTGAGAGGTAATTGGGATTTGTTCTTTTGGGTCAATTTCTAGGGTTAGGGTTTTTTTTTTTACGCTTTCTGGTTTTGTTTATATTTGGTTATTGAAAGAGTAGAAAATCACAGAATGCATAAATAGGCCCTTATAAGCAGTGTTAAATATTGGTTCATGATATTAAAATATAGATTGTGATTTTATTAATTAGGTTGCAAATAGTTTAATTACTATCTGATAAAGCGAATTGAAGGATGATATACTAAAATTAAATCTAAATTAGGATCTTAACTTCACTAAATATAATTTATTTGTTTGAATTAGATGAGGATTGGGCTTAATTTAGTTGTAGTGACAGTACATTCGTATATTATCCGCTGAGAAGAATTGCCTTTCTAAAGGAGGTGTTTGATATTATGTCAGGTTTGGTACTGTTTCTACATCACACGGATCCGAAGCATCTAAAAAATCAGAGGACTTGAAGAGGAAGGCTAGAGCAGAGAGGTTTGCCTTCCTACATTACAGAATTCTTCAATTTGAATTTTAGCAAATGTCGGGTTATTTGTTTGTTTTGTGATAAAGATTGCCATTAATTTCTTTCTTGTTATCAGGTTTGGGCTTCCTGGCCCTGCTGTGGTGGGTGATGAGGATGCAAAGAAGAAGGCTCGTCTTGCTCGGTTTGCTCCTAATGCCAAACCAGATGCTAAAACTGATCCTCAGGAAGAAGAAAAAAGAAAGGCGAGGGCTCTCAGGTATTTAGCGCCGCAAGCTATTTATGCATTATTTTAATAGATCGTTAAATGTTTTAGTAGCTTCTGAAGCCCTGACGGTTATATTTTCTTTATTTTCTCCATTGAGGTTTCTTTTTTCGTGTTTTAATTCTCATAAGACCATTTATATTATCTTTCTAGGTTTTCAAACACCTCAAAAGGTTCTCTTACTCAAGTGAATGATAAGGGTAATGTTGAGCAGGTAAGAAGCTCTTGATTTAATTTTTTTTTAGTAAACATTTTGAATGATTTTTTTCCCCTTCTTCATTCTGCTTCTTGCAGCTGATGTTTGTATTGTTTTTTATTTTTTATTTTTTAAATTAGAAGGCAGCCATAGCAGGCAGCGCCGGTGGAGAGGTTTGAAGAAAAGCTTCATTTCTTAGTAGTAAGTTAAATTTATGAAATTTGGGAGATAGGTAACCAGTTTTAATCTACTTTCGATTCTGCTTCCCGTCTTGTTTGGCATACAAGTGCTTTATGATTTTGTTACTTGAGGTGCTTCAGTTTGTCTTATACTTCCGTTTCTTTTGCAGGTATAGGATTCTAACATTTTGTGGTTCCCTCAGAGGCATCCGTACCCGTAGATATCTCTGATTGCATGGATTATCAGGTGGAGTATTTTTCAAATGGTCAATAGGTATCTTCTACAAGTTGCTGAACTCAATTTGGCGGTGTAGGGGTTATTTCATGCTTGGTTTGGGCTCCTTTCTCAGATTTCCTGGTGAGGCTTTCAATAATCAACAATTACCTACTTAGTGTTAACCTACCCTGCAATTTTACCAAGAATGTCAGAAATTCAGTACTTACAACCTAGGGAAATTTAGTACTAGAGGATGCTTTAGTGGCAACTTTTGGGTGGTCACTCATTCAATTGATGCATGGCACAAAGATAATATCTCGTAATTGTTTAGCTTGCATAAGCATGATGCAGTGTTGAACAGCAGTAGTATGAGTTTGGTTTGCTAAGTCTACACCTTCTGAGCTGTTAGTACCTGTGCTGATAACCAACTTAATCCATTAATGTGGGGTCTAGGTCTTAGTTTTCTAATCAATTGGTCCTTGTAATATTAGTTATTGGTGGTCAAATTATAAACTTTTGATGGTGTGTTGAATGGTAAAAACATGTTAATTAAGAATCAAAAGAGTCGAGCTCATGCACAGTTGAAGATGGCTGCAATAATGGAGTTTCGTTAGGGTGCTAGATATCTAGTTTGTTACAGGACCTGTATAATTTTTTGACTTGTGTGCTAGCTTAAGTGAAGTGGTTTTTTTTTATTTGTTTTTTTTTTTTTTTTTTTTGTCTTCTCACCATCCTGGTTCCGATTCTATTAGTTCATATTTCTTAATGCCACTGGGTCGGATCAGATTAGTTGAGGTGTATAGGCAAATCCTACCAAGTACTGCTGTCCAACACTGCCATGAAAAACATGTATAAGAAGGATATAACTGACCTGAAGCTAACTTTTGTTAGATGGAAATCTTAATATGTCTTAGTTATTCATATTTGCTGAACAGAGGATTTCTTGAGATTGTAGTGTTAGAATTTCTGATATTCTTGGTCGATGATTTTGGGGCAAGTAAACAATTTGGAGGTGGTTGTTGGTTTTCTTAAGCCTTGCTCTGTGAGTTCTGCACTCTACAGGTAGGATACCAGGAACGGATTGAACTCGTTAATACTCCGTCAGTTATTGCTGTGTAATTTTTAAATTTTGCATAGGTAGGTTCCATTGGAAAAACATGTAGAAACATCCACCTCATGTGGAAAATCATGTTTTGTATTAAGCATATTGTGGACGGAAGGACCTGTTAACTTAATTTTGGAGGGAATCATAAAATGTTAGTTTACATTCTTCGTCTTTTAAGTTGTCAAATTGCTAATTTATATCTCTGTTATTGTCTCGTGTTGATGGGTGCTTACGCCTGTTGAGTTATTTTTTATCGGATATCTGGTCGGAGGTTTTTTTGTCTGATATCTAGTCGGAGTTGCGTACGTGTGGTGATTTCTGCTCGCCCCTTTCTTCCACATGCACTCTCCTGTCATTGTTTCCGTCCCTAAACCGAACTTATAACCTGTGAAGTGTGAACAAATCAAAGGGCGGAAACGATGAGGGGGGTGTTCAGAAGGGGAAAAGAGGAGTGTCGAAATTATTACCCGATTCCTTGTTCAGCCGGTGGTTGTGCATGTGAATAAGGGAAGCGGGTATTTCGAAAACGACAATTATAGTTTTAGGTGTGGTTTAATTATTGGGTTTTCTTTTTTTGTTAAAAAAAAAAGGACTTATGAAACGCAAGTCGGATGTGAGTGAGTGCATGTTTGTTGGGAGAAGAAAATGATGGTCGATAACATTGCCAATTGGAGATATAATATGAGTCTTGGGTACTATTATTTTGAGAATTCTTCTAATTGGATTTGAACTCGATTATTTGATGATATATGGGAGTATTTAGGATTCAAATTATCTATGATAACTTTTTGAGTCAGTTTTTGGGAGGATCCACCCCCTTATTTTACCAAAAAATAAAAGAAAAAAACACAAACGAGACTAACCGGTGGCTTTGTCACTGCAGTCTACCATTGTGGGGGTCGAGACCGATAGAGGCATTTTAGTCTTTTTATTGGCTATCATTGTGGTAATCATTTGGGTCATGACTCGAACTCAGGACGTGATGTATAAAACATTGACTTGAAATTTGTCGCCAACGTTTAAATACCTTTATTGGTCTCAAATCTCAAATTTGCACTCTGATTGCATGGTTTGATTTTAGATGGTGCCGGAACCCTCTTTTGTTGCGGTGTTGTAATCCTTTCCAAATATTGTACGTTGCCCCCTGTTATTAATGAAATTGCTCCTAGTTTCTCTCAATAAAATACTTTTTTCTGGTTCCCTACGTCTGTCTAGATTTTTATTTGGAAATTCGAATCTGGTCTGTCTAGACTTCTATTTGGAAAGAGATGTGCTATCCACATATCTTATTTGACTTTTTACACACATTTTGATAATTTTTGTCCGTTGATCTTCTTCAATTCATCTGATCCGACAACCGAGAATTAAAAAGATGTGTGAGAAGTAAAATGAGGTGTGTGGATATCACACCCCTTTGGAAATACGAACCTATCTTGAGTGTAAATGTGAATGTTTTTAATCTCTTGCGTCATTTGAGCCTTTTTGTGCCGAGAAAATTTTACGAAAATATAAGTGATACACTACGTGTTTTAATAAAAGTGATGAGAAATTTTATTTATTAAGTTATTAACTTTTTAGCACACATATCTCACAATTTGTATAATGACACATGATGTATCATCCCGTGTACCGGTCACAATGAAAAATATCTCCTTTGTGCCGGTTGGAAATCTGACAATTCAAAGTGTCAAATCAAAGTTACTAAAACACGTATTTTTTCGAATCCGACAAATAGTATGTCAAATCTGAAGGCTGAAGTGCATATTGGGGTTTTTAATTTGTTATCTACCTTAGCATAACAACGAATATGATTACATATAACCCCATGTAATTGGTTATGGGGTTTTAAAATCCGAGATGGGGAAGTATGATGAGAAGACTCGAAAGTGTTTTTTTCGAGCGATATTCTAACTTAATATAAACAACGGGACACAAATTTGAGCTTCGGTACAAAGTGGGGCATATGCTACTCTTGCCTCACTTAGCTACGCCCAAATATGTAATCCGACGTTAAAACTATAGATTGCAATTTACAAGAAGGAACCGAGTTACAGAAATATTTGGGTAGCACTTGGTTGCCATTTCCCAAAACAGGATAGCATTATAGCAAAACGCCGATCTAGGAACTAGAAGCTGGGTTTTAATGAAAACTGAGACCTGCGAGGGGAGCCTCCATTTTTCAACAGGCTTGGATTTAGAAACAACACCACCACAGTGATGTCGTCGTGAAAATGCCGTCGTACTCCGCGTTCGATAATCCTCAAGTCTGTATACCTCACTTCCCTTTTCTTGGCTGCTGCTTGTAGTGCAGCTTCAATCAGCTTCCTTGCTATTCCCTGCACAACAAAGGAGAAAATGTTCACCATTAAGCTCATCGCGCAAGTGATGATACAGTGGAATCTAGCCCTTTCTCCGCTTTTTTTTCTTTCGATTTTTTACTCTCAGTTTCTTCTTCTGCACTTCTCATTGTTTCGGTCCTTTAATTATTCTTTGAAAAGAGGAGTGTCAAAATCACTTTCGGGAAAAAAAGTGCGCAAAAAAAAGTGTTATACAGATGGTGGAAAATGACCTTGCGGGGGTAATTGTTGACAATGTCGACGGCATCCTGGTTGCTAAGATGCTCCCACAGACCATCAGAAGCAAATATGAGAAACTGATCTTCCGGTCGGAGTTTAATTACTGATACTTCTGGTTCCGGGATTAGAATTGGCTTGAGAAAAGGTTCAGGTAGCCTATATTTTAGAGGTAGAGGCTCTCTGTTGAACTCTGCGTTCTTTAAGTACGCGTCACCAATTGATCTCGAAACCTGCAAAGTAAGGATTTAGTTTTAGTACTCGAGCTCAAATCTCATGGACGACAACTGTTGGATTAAAAGAAGAAAGACGGGTACCTGAATGAGGCCCTTCACGCGCCAAACTTGGTGCCTTAAAACGACAATCTGTGAATCGTGTGGATGCAACGACCGCAGTTCCTCTCTCACTGATTCTATGCTTGCATTGTGCTCTGCAGATAATTGAATGGCCGTGACTTCTTTAGTTTCCCTTTCTAGTTTTCCCAGAACCACTCTAGAGTCCCCAACATTTGCCGTGTAAAGCAGTCCATTGCATATTATCCCCACCAAACAACATGTTCCTGTAGATGCAATTTGTGGCTTGCTTTGCCACTGCTTCTTCACCACCGATAGAAAACTCTCTTCCGTCGCCAAGTACGCCTTCTTGATCACGGTTTCCGACATGCATCGATGCTCAGCTGCAATCCCTGCTTTTCCAATTAGTGTTAGAAACCGTTTAGTGATTTTAATGTTCATCTTTTAGCCTCTATAAGCGCAAGAAAATACTAAGATATTCAGTTTGGAGTGCAGACAGCTAAAAGATGGGTCATGAGGGAAATTAAAAAGAGGAACACACTTGAACATACTTTTTAGATTGCGGAAGAGATTTTCATTGACATATCTTGAAGCTTCAGGCCCTCCATGTCCATCATAAACTCCAACGAAAGTTCCCAGACCGGATTTTGTTGTACACAAAGGACCGGATTCGATCTGGCTTTGATCCTCGATAACAGAATTGGCCTGAACGGCAGCCATTGAGAATTTTCCCCAAGCATGCTGCCCAAAGTCCTTGTACCACAACAACCCATCAACCTGGCCGCTGGCTTCCCCGCCACGTCGAAGTCCATCATCCACTGCAGATGGCCTCCAACATGACCTAACCATTTTTCCAAGCAACCACTTTATAACACACAACAAAATCGAAAAATTGACCAAATCGATATCGAGAGCGACAAGAGCAAGAATTAGACTTAACCCTAGTTCAAGTTTCTGTTTATGTTCCAAACCCGAAACCCCATTCTCAAGATCCTTATACCCTTCAAAACCAGACACCATTCATATGAACAAAATTTAAGAAAAATGCCAAAGGGGTATGGGGGGCTAAAGACAAGTCACAAATGTGTCTTGGGACCAGAAGGCAAATAGTTTAAATGTTTGTTCAGAGAATATGGAGGCCTGCTGGTTCTGTGTATCTTGAATTAGGGTTAAATACTTCCGGTTCTTCGATATGTGCCATTTTTGAGGATCAAACTTAGCTGTAAAAGCACATACAAATTTGGAAATTGCAGAGGTTGGTCTGTGATCAGAGTGATCAGAGGGAACACTGGATAAGAAAAGGGTTTGGAGTTTTTTGGCAGAAGATCTTCAAATTGTGGTCAGATGAGATGTAAGATGGGAAATAATAAGAGATTTTGAGATACAAAGCTCTGACATTGTTTGTTTTTCTTGTTTTTTTATGTTTATTTTGGGTTTGTAAGAGACCTTCCAATTCCACGGTGGAGGTTTTCAGTTCTGTGTGACCTTTTATTAGGAAGTAACCCAAAACTTTAGCCAACATTTTGGGCAATGAAGATAGGTACACTTTAAGATAAACTGTGGATACGCGTAAATAATTACCATAAGTTTAAACGCGTTTGGTATTTTAATGTGGGGTTATTTCTGGTTTAGTCGAAGCACCTAACTTTTAAGTAGTTATTTGTGACCTTTGCCTCAATGGATCTTGCACTCTCGTGAGGCTGAATAAATCCAATTATCCAAGCTCTATCTTTTTCAGTAACAGATAGTTTTTACCAATCAAACCTAACAATTAAGGACTCGTTTGGAAATGATTTTAAAATGACTGAAAGTGTTTTTAAAGAAAATATGTTTAGGTTCTAAACTTGCATTTTTACTAAAAATTGGTTCCAAAAACGCTTTCAGACATTTTAAAAGCGTTTTCAAACGAGCCCAAAGAGTCATGGTCTAATTTCAAACACAAATTTATACTGGCTTGAGGCAATGAATTTGTGACAAGAACCTAATCATCATTAATGAGTTAAGCATGCAATGATTTCAAACCAGGCGATGCTTAATCTACTTTATCACTAGTTGATTTAGAAATGATTAAGGCAATGTGCTCTCTTTTATGCATTTAAGTTCGAATATCTCTCCTTATTAAATTAAATTAATATAGTGCTCGAGTAAAAAATACCCTTTCACTATAGTTCTTTTCCAACTTCTAATTCTATCTTTCTTCTAAAGGGAGAGATTGAATATTTTGTAATTGATAAAAGTTGCTGTGTATTATGGGGTCAGTTGACTTGAATTGATGTGTATATGTTTCTTGATGGGTGGTTCTTGGTTGGCAGTATTCATAGATGTAATGAGAGAAGAAAAGAAAACTCAATGGCCCATGATCCCATGCTCTAGCTAGGTTGGCACATCAAAGATGAAACAAATTTTTCAGTGTCTTCGGAATACTGGATGATATAGTATGTGTTATTATATAAGTAGTGAGATATTTGTGTTAAAAAAATTAACAACTTGAATAATAAAACTTCATTCCACTTATATAATTACTCATGATGTACTACTTTTATTCCGGACACAATGAAAAATTCTCCAAATATGATGCATATACACCCTTTTTGTGGATGGGGGAGGCCCCTAAATACATGCATATACAGGTTCTAGTAATTCAAAAGGCCAAGTTTTCATTTTTTTTTACAAGAAAATATTTTAAATTACTTATATTACAAATGATATAACTAAGTTGAGTTAGTTTGTATGGGAGATGCACTGAGGTGAAGAAAAAATCCTTATTCATCATGCCAATCACCATGTGAGCTATAAAATTATGATCAACTAACCCAACTTACGGATGCTCTAAACAAGGCAAGTATAAGTTTTACATTTTGTTCAATGCATCAAACTATAATAAAACCATCAAAATTATGATCAACTAACCCAACTTACGGATGCTCTAAACAGGGCAAGTATAAGTTTTACATTTTGTCCAGTGTATCAAACTATAATAAAACCATCAAAACTATAAAAACTACACATTTTTACCTATAAAAAAAACTGAGAAGGCGAAGTTGAATGCAATGTATGCGTGCGTATCCGAATTTTTGTTGCATGTTCTCAATCTCAAGCAAAAAATAATGGGTCCATTTTCTTTGGCATCACGAGGAAGATTAAAGCCCAAGGTAACAGTGTTTCCGACACTCTAAAAATCTCTCGTTTATAATCTAATAATTTAAATAGATTGTCACTTTGACTTCACTCTTATCTTAGTGTAGACCGCCTTAGGTAAAGCCACCGCCTAACTTACCACTACGGTTGCCGTCCAATAATGGCTGGGTCTACCCATTTCGAGTTTTGTTACAATAATTTCATAATATCACAAATCTGGTTCAATCATATGTGGCAAAAAAACCCAAATGCTTAGCACCTATCATCTGATTGAAAGATTAAGTCACGTTTTATATTAACTTTAATTTATCAGAGTAGGTGGAGTTTGGCCATTGGTTACTTTCCGTGGACTAATAAGATCATTTCCAATGGAAAATATCAAATTTTATTTTTATAGTTAAAAAAAATAAAAAAATATTGGGACAACTGGTAACAAGTTACAGTTATCAACCCCTTCCTGGCTCAGAGAGGCTATGAGGAATTTCACATTGCCCATGGACGCAGTCAAGCATGCTCACCAGCTCGGAACATCAAAACCGAGACCTTTCATATTTTTTTGTTTATTTTATAGTTGATGTGGCAAAATAACATTTTGTAAACTATTCCAACCAAAATTTTAAAGGAAAACTAATGAAAAGGGCTTGAAAACTTTGAGTTTTAATGATAAGGACAAAATAAAGGGTAAAGTGAATAGTACCAAGTTTGACTTTTTAGTGTAAAAATGTGGTTTTTCGTTAAAGTAAACAGTACCATGGGCTTTTCGTTAAAACTCCCAAATTTTAAATGAAAATGTCTTTTAGCAATTAAAAAATCATGTGTCAGAATTTTAAAAAAAATATCAAATAATCAGTAAGTGGAGAAAAAAAATGTGGGGCCAACATTAAAATAAAAATAAATAAAAAATTGACGTTGCTTTGAAGCCAGAAAATCTTTTTTTTTTTAAATAGTCCACCTAAAATTTTTATCAAGATTACGGGCGGCGGCGGGTTCTGTTCTAAAAAAATTGTGATGGTCAGATTGTGGGAGCGGGAGCCTTCAATACGCGTAAATAATCAACGTTACATTTGCTAAAGCAATGGGCCTGAAAGAAGGGCTTAAGTTTGTTCGGTCCAAGGGCTTCCAAAAGTTTTTTTTTAAATTTTTTTAATTTTTTAATAAACGATATTATCTAGGGAAGGGGTGAACTTAACTAATGAGCTAACAGTAATGTGGTTCAAATTTACTTTTGTCAAGAATCAAATCTAAGACCTTTCACTTATAAGTGAAGAAGAATACTATTAGACTGTAGTACTAAGTGAATTGATCAGTTTCCTAATTAAGGGATGCTTGTTACTTTCATCCCATTCCTCTAGTTTATGTATTAAATCTCCCTTGTATTCAAAGAATTGAAATCTATCTCATCACTCAGTATTTTCTTTCAATAGATTAAGGGGAATTGTATAGACTTTGGGCTTAAAAAGACTACATACGATTGAACCCAGGTTCGTTTTCTCTTGTTTTTTTCTTTTCCGTTGATGAACCATTTTTTGCAAACACAAAAAACTTCTCCTTTATTTTTCAAAGAATTGTGCTAACCAGGATAGGAAAATCCATGAGGATGGAAAATATATTGCTATAGCATTATCCCTCAAAGCTTAGTCAAATGATACTAACATCGGCTCCCACGAGGGAGGGGAACTCAGTTGGGTGATTGGAGTCTCTTTTTACTTTTATTTATCTTTATAATAAATTTTCAATTTTTATGTAATTATGAAAGCGTTAAAAGGAAAATTATAACTAAGAAATCATAGTAAATCTTACCACGTGTCACATTTTGATTGAATTGTATTGTCATTAGGCCAGTGGCACGTTGAGCCCATCACAAAAATGAGGGAACGAGACATGAAGGTGGAAATATAAAACAAAAACTAAAATAGAAAACTTGCTACAATTTATTTTCATTTGTTGTAAACATTCATAGTTTAAGTATGATTGTGTAAATCCTAGATAAGATTTGATTCTAGTTATCCTTTCCTATTACAACTTGTATTACTTGGAGGAGAAGGAATATCTTCTCTCCCTTTACTACTATAAATAAAGGCACAATGTAGGAGGGATAACAACACACACATTCCCCTACAATTCTACAAACACACATCTCTCTCCTCTCTCTCTGCCGCCGGCCCTAGTCTCTCTGTAAGATAAATATAGACCACAACATGTTATCAGCACGCTCCTACCGCTGCGCTTAGGAATCTGACGTTGGAGATTTTTCTACATCAAACCAGTTTATCCATATCATCACGCAATCAGGTTCTTTCCAAACAACGGCTTTTAACTCGATATTTTGCAAGCCCTGATAGCATGAACATTCACCATGATGCATGACCCAACTTTATGTTTTACGTATTTTAGATTCTACATAAATTGTGTATGCTTCATAACCAAAATTGCTACAATTATATGAATTTGATATTTACCATGAATTGAATCTTACACATGTACATGCATTGAAACTATTATTTGCATATGCATCAACGTAAATATGTGATTCATTAAAATTATACATGCATATAATTATATTTGAATTGAAAAAAAATATTTTTGCGATTTGGGAACTAGGGTTCTTCGAACCCGTGCCTTTGCATCACGCAAGGCTATAACGCAACCAGGCCGGCAGCCTGCGATGGCTAGCCCATCTTCTTGCAAGGCCTGCAGCCTGCATCCCCGTGCCTTTCCCGAGCCGAGAACCAATCCTGGAGCCACGGCTCTAGGCCCAACACCCAGACCCAACGCCCAGCAGGCGTCGCTACCCATAAAACCGTCAAACAACATGGCCTGCAGCCATGCCTTGATACCCCCGACGACCTGCAGTCGTCCTCGACGAGTTTTTTTTTTATTGACAGTCGATTTTTTCTTTGAAATTTCAATCGATGAGTCTAGGGTTTTACTACGTTGAGAATTCCTCACTCTCCGTCCAAATTTATGGTTAGCAATGACCCCCACGGCCTTCGCCGTGATTTTTGAACCATGGACAACCACCTCCATCTTTGTCCAGTAACCCGAGCCTTAATCGGCTCCTGTCCCTCGGCCTGCATCAGCGCCTTTGGGCTTGCTGATGCTTTGAGATGTCACGGCCCAGCCCGTGCACAAAGAAAAAAAAGTTTTTTTTGGCTGCTTAACGCAGCCCAATCCACCCCGTAGGCCTGCAGCCTACACCCGAGACCCTCCCCAGTCCAAATTTTGGGCCTAGGTCTCACAGACCAAATTTTTCAAGCCACCCGTGGCTTCATATTTTCTTTTGGACCGCAAATTTTTTCTCGGCCTATATTTTTAGGCCCCGAGATTTTATTAATTAATATTTTT